CAAGTCCATTTACTTTGGAGCTTTCTTATTGTACTTAAAAAAATTTTCAACTGATTATTTGTATGCAGTTTTATCATGTCAATATGACTGCGTTTGTTAAAATATTAAATGCATTATTCAAGTAGCAATTGGTGTTTCAACAATTGGTCATCGTTAACCTAATTCTATATGTTGCATGCATTTATTCAGCAGATGTCCGTATACGTCAGTTACACTCTAGGTACTGCTTATTGATAGTTCATACAACAATCAAGTATATTTTACAAATGTTATGAATTTTGAAGGTACACAGTGTAAATATGGAAATATGTAATCGTTGAATTAACTTCTAACTTTTCCTCCTTAAGTTCATAATAGACCAGACAATATGAAGCTGCACAAAAGAGCGTTCGATGGTGTACTAGGCATGGCAGTCTATGGCTTGAAGTCAATGAAGAAATTTCCGCGACCTGGGAATCTTTATTGGAAGACATGAAGTTTGTGTGTAGACTAATTTGAAAGTTCATACCTTTCATCAAAGTCGTTTCCCTTCGTTATCAATCATAAGCGGCGTCTTTTCGTACGACAATTCCCTAACTGATTTTCCATTCCTGGTGTGTACACAAACTATAGAATACCTTTTATCTAGTACAGTGTTAGACTTAGATATTGATACTCTTCTAGCTCTTGAAGTAACATAAGGGTTAATCTGATTACTCGTATTAGTCAACTGCAATAGCTAGTTTCTGGCATCCCTCCCCCCTTGAATAAAAATAGCGACATTAGTGACAACTTTGACGCTTAACTCTTCGTGTCAAAATTTACTTTTTTCTTTGATAAATATATGAAAAGAAAGCCGCCGTGAATTATATTTTTCTTGCTTCGCTGATAGACGTACGGTGGTCCAAACAGTGCGGAATGTTCATTTTGATGTATAATCTGTTAAACGTATCTGCGAGTAAATATAAAATATTTTTTTACAAAACTGAACCAACTTATCGCCTTGCACGCTTGTTTTCCCAACGTATGGCAACTCTCGTACATTTGTTTCGGCTTTTCTCTGCACGAGTTTGTTTGGAAGGGCTTAAGTCATGACTGTGGTGGAAAAGTCCTGTGTGTAAAGTGCTACACAAGGAAACAAACGTATATAATATGTATTACACTTATGGCTCCAGCTATGGTAATTGACGAAACACATGTTTCTATGAACTGAGTTATATTGTTTGTTATCGCGAACAGAATGATTTCAATCTTGGTTTATTCATTTTTCCAATAAATGTTCATTTTGTTCACATACAAAACGACTTTATTTTTCCTCAAAAACCACAAGTCTCTGATGCTTTAATGACGCACTTCACATTTCTTATGTGAAGTATCATATATCGTGTATTTAAGTCTCGACACTATTTATTGAAGAAAAGTCAACGGTAGTGAAAGAGGTGAATGTGTGTTTTTAATCTCAAAAGCTAATACATGTTTTTCATATGTAGCTACAAAAGGCATAACACGTACAGGGCTTTAGAAGTCTTCTTTTGACAATAGTCGGCGCAGATGTTTTTCAACTAATGTTGTCTAGGTTGAGTCAACAGATTACGATATAGATTGCTTGAACATCAACGAAAACGTCAAATGTGGCATTGTCATTAATTGTCTCCGACGACAAATATTTGAATTTCGTGTCTCGAATGAACTGAGGAGCAGCTGATTGTCTACCCATTTTGCATCTTTTATAAATGTTGTTGTTTCATTAACGTCGATTATAAATGTGAAAAATTGTCCGAAACATTTGTCAGTCTTCTCTTTTAACTCTACAGCGACTGCAGTCATATAGTTTCCTTGGATAAAACCACGGTCATTTGTAAATATTTACAGAACAGTCCAAATGAAAATAAGCAGTCTCCTTTTCCTTCGTATATTGTGCATTTAGGTATTATGACTTTTTTACCCATTTTTATGCTAGCATCTAAATTGTTTTCAACAAGTTTACTTCCCCCCCATTTTAAATGAACATCTTTAGGTAATATTTACATTCAGTAACTAGAGTTGGTGCCAGGCTAATGTGCCATTGTGCTATGGCTCGTTGGTACATACTAAGAAATCGAAATGTACCCTTATGACACACACTTATATGTTATCAATTTGTAGAACTAAAATTGAATTGAAGGAACTATTTGATTCCCATACTTGTGGAAAGAGTAATACACTTCAGATAGGCTTGACGCTGAAAAAGATCATCGTAGAAATCAAAATGGCTGTGATGATGGATATGAGTATTTTGATTTGATGCCTAATCCTTTCGGCTACACTGCGAGAAATTCAAGAGTTCGGAATGAATTTGAGGTGTTGCGAATGCTTGGAAAAAGGAGGGTTTGCTTCAGTTGTCAAAGTAACTTTTTATTACATACAACATTGTTTAAATAGACGGTAGTTTGGTCTTGTGAAGGAAATTTTGTACGTGATTTGGAAATTCTTTTTATACGCTAATTTGTACGGCTATCTCTATGCGATCAAAAGAATTCCTTTGACTCCGAAAAGTGTGCTGTTTAATCGCAAAATTACTCAAGAAGAGAAATTACTTTCTAGATTGAATTATGAAAATTTCGTAAGGTAAAAAGAAATTTACTATCCAAATTTAATCAAAATTTTATAACATAAGGTTGAAAGCGAGGTTCAATTTAGAAGATACAAATTGCTTGGCTTATTAAATGTTATCTTTTGTAGAAATCATTAAAAAAATTTAGATAATCCTTTTTTTCCATGACGCCCATGGGTGCTTTCATTCATGATGAGAGAGTTTTATTGCATAAGGATCGAGGCTCTCTTTCATCACGAGAAAGTTGTGAGAAAGTTACATTGTAAAAGGTAACAAGTAAAAAACGTATAAGCATGCTTTTAGAGTTGGCTTAAATTGCATGTCAAAAAGGCAGAAGTTGTTTGAACCTTTGCAGTATCCTTGGATGTTCTACTTTCTTCTATGAGAAGAATCCTTGTAAAGAAAAGACAAATTTTGAAAACACAAAAATCTTGTTTTCGACCCATGCCTCCCGATACCCCGAGATAGTTTAGCACTAGAGCGTCACATGTTAATTAAGGGAACTAGATAATCCTTGTTTCCGTAGATGGTTTGCTCGTTATACATGGGAAACAGTAAATGAGAGAGTTAAATCAAAAAGATATAAACCAATAAAAATTGTATAAAACATTTTATGGTTGTTTTAAATTATAAGTGTCATTAAAAGGGACAGTTTCTGAAAAATTTAATTGAAGCATAGCCTGGTTTATTTCATTTTAAAAAGATAAAATTCGAAAGCAAAAAAACCCCGTTTTCGGGCCATGCTTCCCGATACCTTCTTAAGCGCAAGGCACTAGAACGCCGCATGTTAACGTTTCGGTAGGAGATTTCGGCCCCTCCAAGCTTCCGCCCATCAGACCCCGAGATCATAAGCCATAGGCTTTGCTATGGCTTGTGATCTCGGGGTCTGAGTGCGGTCGCGACCCGAAACGTCCGGGCCCCTAAGCCACTGCATACATATCGCACCCGGCTTCCACTGCTAGTTGACACCCACTATCCATATATTTAGCTTTATATTTATATACAAAAATTCAAAGGCTTACGAAAATTGTGGTATTATTAAAGTCACTACTGCGCATGCTCATATGATTTCTTTAATAATAAGTGAGCTAATTGCCACAAATGTAGTGTAAGTACATATAGTTAGACGTTGCTATGACTATGAACAATTAGTCGAGTGGATTGCGCATGCTCTAGCGCATGCGCAGATGATTTCTCTATTAAATTTGTTACGAAGCATGCTATTTACTTTAAAATCGGTGCTAGTGGATGCAGTTGATCGTTGCCATGACCATGAACTTCGGCAGCTGGTCAAGTCGACTGTGCATGCTTGAGCAGACTGCGCATGCGCAGATAATTTATCTGAAAATTTGTGTCTGAGCGAGCTAATTACTGTATAATCGGTACTAGTACATGCAGTTGGTCGTTGACATGACCATAAGCATGGTCGCATTCTCAGATTAATTCTCAATTAATTTGTAACAGAGCGAGCTCTGAAATTAGTGCTTCTATATGCCCTTGTCAATCATATGTTTTTGGCATGCTCTTTGTCTTTTTAAGCTTGTTTTGACCAATGGATTTCAAACTCATCAAGACTTTGTTAGGCCACTCGTAATATCAGTGTTAATGAATAGAGATGTTTTTATTTTTCCTCATAACTTTGTATCTGCATATTTTGTGCATAAACAATGCTATAATTTTTTGTGACAGATATTATAATTCGTGGATTGAGGTAGAAGAAATACTTGAAAATGAAACTTCCAACAGTGAAAGAAAATCCAAGCATGACAGAGGAGAAAAAACGACGCCAGCTTGAAGATAGCTTGATGAAATTAAACGTAGTTAAAGCACGTAGTGTATGCTCGAGAGTTTTGGATGAGGACTCCTTGACAATCAAAAACACAAATGGTTCCAAGCATGTTTACGACAATAAAAACTCTAACTAGGGCAAGGTTCCAATACAAAAACAATCCATTAATTACACCGAGTCTACTAAAGATATGTTCAAAAGAAATATCGATGAATCACAAATGCAGATTAAAAGCTCGTTGGCTCACGTGGCATATAGAAGTGTGGGAACTGTTCATGATGTTGCTGAAGATATGTAAAATTTCCTACCAGCGTCCGTTCCTTTAGGACGAGGAATCTGATTTTGAAAGTGAAGAGGAGAAAATCACCACAAGAGATTTGCTAGAAGATACAAAGTGTACTCTGCAAATTTCGTGTATACAGATGAGAAATTGTGAGAAGAGTACTCTAAGGAATGTTATTGACGAGAGATAGTACAAGGACCAACAGAGAATGTGGCGGCTTCTCCATGAGATTGTAGAGAGTAATAAAGTTTATGGAAACCCTTGTCAGTTATTATACCACATGTCAAGAAGCATCACCTAAGAAATGAAAGTCAAGATAACCATATACGTTTGTGTATAATGTTGAAGAGATAAAGAATCTTTCCAAAAGGTTCTCTCAGATCAGTGTTGTAATTTTGAAAATTATGACATGCTGTTAGCAAAATTTTTCATCTAATGCTTACTGGAATGAACTGCGAAGAGAGGCGAAAGTCATTTTCATACCAATTCAACTTTGTAAGGTGACGTCAGAGATAGCAAACACATGTGATGCTTATATACACATACAAGGTTAAAATGACGAATGAACTTTAATACATTTGAAATGATATGTAAACATGCAGCAATTCATCCTTTTTTTAACTAAATAGCTTTCGGTCATAATGGAAATGAATTTGTTAACATTCCGAAAGTCTTCTCCGTGATTTTAGCACGGAAACATAATCACGTGACGTGTATGGCGTTCGTCAAACGGTATAAGTAATAGCAGCACTGTAAAGTAAGCACAAAGCACTTTTTCAAATCTTTATCATTTATACAACACTTAAGTAAGATTATTTGAACTGTGTTCATCAAGCCTGTTTTGCCAGGCTAGTAAGGTTTACCCATATGTACGCGTTCGTGTCTGTTCTTTTCTACATATGATCAAATTTTAGTTGCCATGGGCAACTTTACGTATTTTATCAATATTACACGACGTATTTTCTGGGTATCCAGTATGGCGACCCTAAAGGGGCTATCCATTGGTGATTTATGGAAGAAATTGACTTCGTTTCTTGATCCTTTCTCTCAAGGAAAAAAAATAGGTTCCCTAATTTCATTTTCATTATTTACTTAAGCAATAGTAAAATCTGAGATGCGTATTGAACAATTTGTTGCCGTTTTTTCTTTAGAAATAAAGGAGGCTTTGCGATTATTATACGAAGCATGTGGGCAGTCCGCTGTATTAGAGGAATTTCTTTTGGATGAATTAAAGAAATGGTTTTTAGGTAACTGAAGTCAAAAATTTGTAAAAGCATTCAATTATGAAATTGCCAAAGGAGGATTATTCATAATTTAAAAGATAATTACAAATAAATCTATAATTATATGTACTGCATTTCTAATTTCTTTAGAGCAATTTGAGTCCCGATTGCGAGAAAATATAAGCAAAAAATTTTGGATGCTATTTAAGGTGAAGAATTGGTTTCACTTTAATTTGTTATTTCTTGGTCAATTTTTCATAATTTAATGATTGGATCTTCCCCTCCCCCCCCCCTCCCCTCACTCTGTTTACGTACAGGATGGTGCAAATGTTGAAAACATTTTGTCAAGTGTAAAGCACTTGCATCAGATGATTGAAGATTTTCACGGATCTATTATGAAGTTCAATGAACTAACCAAACAAAGAAAAATTATGAAATGGTACAACTTTTAAACGTGAACTTTTTGAATTGTATTGATGTTGTGATACGTACCGAAAGGTCCATGTTTTTATTTTCGTTAATTTATATTTGTCTTGAAACCAGTATTGATATGAAAAGCATACATGCAATAACAAGAGTCACCATCTTTTCCCATCCACCGGAGCATTTCAAATCTGGTGTAGAAGATTTATATGCTCGGGCGTTTAAAGCTTTCGAAGTTATTGTTGACCGTGATGTTGATGCAGTGGATGATGGTAAATTGAAAGAATGGAAATTACACTTTTTCAAGATTTAAATCATCAATTAAGCATTTCAATATTTTTGTTATGATTTTAGAAATCAAGGAAACAAATGAGGATTGCAATGAATTCCTGGAAAGGTTCTCTTCGTGGAATGCTATGTTATATTCACTTGGTGTTCTGAAACATGTCTGTTGTGACTCCTTTGTCTTAGTCATTCATACTAAGGTGATGGTGACCTTGCATGGATAAGTGTTGTAATCATCACTGTTCTTTTAAAGTAAATGGTTTGAACCTGGGAGTATCGTTACATGTTTGTAAATGTAGATTTCCAGGTTGGTATAGTCCTGAGAAGGACTGTTTTTGTTGTTGTTGACTGACGTTTTGACAACATTTGACTCCAAGTCATTTGACTCTGAAGATGACTACCGCTAAGGTTGTCGAAACGTCAGTCAACAACAACAAAAACAGTCCTTCTCAGGACTATACCAACCTGGACGATCTACATTTACAAACATGTAACTGTTGTTTTAATTATTTATTTGTTATGACAGGTAAAGGCCAAGGTTGAGGAACTATGTAAAGGAGAATTTGATCTAACTTTTTTGCCCTCTTTAATGAAATGGTTGAATGATGTGGTTTTGAATTGGATGAAGAGGATTTTGCCATCGAAAGGTCTGTGTTATTTTTGTGATCAATATTTCATGGTCAACATAGTTTTAGTGCTCGACATTAATATAAAACTGTTTCAATCTACATTGATGATGTGTTTAGGTTTTTTGTCTGATGATTTGGATGTGAGCATTGTTGAATCATGGAGACCAAGATTGGAGTATTTTGTCTATAAAACATATGCTGAACTAAGGTTTTTCCAACCCTAACCTAACCTTAAACACACAGCTGTGTTTGTGTATGCACATTGTATGTGTTTATTGTTGAACTAGAATTGAAGAACTTTTTGGCGTTATTGTGGATTATCCAGACTCTCTAAAGGCGTTGGAAGATTTGAAGGTGATTTTTATTCAATGAAAGAAAATGCTAAATTGTAGTCCTTGTATTAATTGTGCTTGATGCGCAATAATGTCCTACTATATGATCACCAATGTCTTTCTATGATCATCTATGTCCTACTATGATCATCAATATCCAAATATTATCATCATTGTCCTACAGTTTGTATTTTCATCTATTAATTCATCCCATGTAATGGCTAGAATTCATTCATTAGAAATGTTTGGAGAAGACTGATTTACGTCAACATTTGATCAAATCACTTCGATTGTCGTGAGTTAGTTTTTTATTCATTAACTTTATGGACTCAATAATCTCCATCCCCTATACATTTTTTAATAAATTTTTTTTAAAGATTTGAAACACGCTTATTGCATCCCGGTGCTGAAACGACGGATATTTTAACACAATATGTGTCAGCCATTAGAGCGTTGCGGGTTCTCGATTCAACTGGAGTGATCTTGGAAAGCGTTTGTGAACCTGTTAAGGCTTATTTAAGGTCTGGAGTTTTGGTCCGTAATAGCTGTAGATTTTAAAGTAAATGGTCTGAACCCGGGAGTATCGTTACTTGTTTGTAAATGTAGATCGTCCAGGTTGGTATAGTCCTGAGAAGGACTGTTTTTGTTGTTGACTGACGTTTCGACAACCTTAGCGGTAGTCGTCTTCAGAGTCAAAAAAGAGTCAACTTCAGAGTCATTTTTTTTTTGACTCTGAAGATGACTACCGCTAAGGTTGTCGAAACGTCAGTCAACAACAACAAAAACAGTCCTTCTCAGGACTATACCAACCTGGACGATATACATCTACAAACATGTAGCTGTAGATTTTGCTGTTTATATTTTTCTGATTTTTTATGGATCTCTTTAGGACTCGTGAGGATACTGTGAGATTGCTGTAGATATTTTTCTGATGTTTTATGGATCTCTTTAGGACTCGTGAGGATACTGTGAGATGTATTGTTTCCAATCTAACGGATGAAAACAGCTCGGAATTATCTGAGGTGAGAGACGCCGTTTCAATGATGATAAACCTTACCGCTAAGAAATGTCTCTTGTATGTATTACAATTTCATGACACTAGTCTGGAGTGATAACAACGACTGAGACTGTGGGAAATAACTTATTATTTGTATTTGAACCATTGAACTAAAATACATGGAACGCCGCTACCTGTAATAGAACAATCTAATAAATTCTTGAAGCCAAATTTTACACCCAGACACGCGAGATTACACCCAGACACGCGAGATTACACCCAGACACGCGTGTGTAGTCAATCAATTTACAGAACTCGAAACACGACACACGCGTCTTGGTGTTAGATTTGGCTTCAATTATTTGCTTCAGGTAGCGTTCCATGTATTTTAGTTCAATGTTTTGAACTGATCGACCTATAAGTTTTTGCTATCTATGATTCTCGTTGATCGAAAGTCAAACAAAGTTTTCTAGGAACTATCTTGTGTAATACACCATGTAGACTTTCAGGTATTTGTAATTAATTACGTCCTCTGTTTTCTTTCATTTGCTCCTTAGGAGTTATTACATGGCGATACTAAAACAATAGAAGACGTATATCCGCTGGACAGTGATACTGAAGACGACGATGAAGAATGGATGCCTGATCCGATTGATGCTGATCCCAGTAAGGATTGAATTAAGATGTTGATTAAGATAATCGGGGACTTGTAGGATATTGGAGTAATTGATGTATTTTCGATGACTGCTTGACCATCAAATGTTTGTTTTTATTGTTCGTTGTGATATTTCACTGTAGCTAAACCATCAAGAAGTCGAAAATCTTCTGATATCATAAGGTTGGTATTTTCCCAATTTTCTTCTTTGGCTATTTCCTGATTTTTTTTGTGGGATTTTTTACTTCCTTGTAGCATGTTGGTGAACATCTATGGTAGCAGAGATCTTTTTGTGTCGGAGTATCGTACCTTACTGGCAGATCGCATTCTCTCTTCGTTCAACTACGATGTACCTAAGGAGGTTGTTAAATGATAGTTTTTTTTAACAATTCTTAAAATTCCATTTGTTGGATTCATAATTTTATGCAATGTTTTTTTTCCTCTTTCAGCTTCATTACTTGGAACTTTTGAAGCTAAGATTTGGTGAATCGCATCTTCACTATTGTGAAGTGATGTTGAAGGATGTTGCTGACTCTAGAAGAATCAACGCCAACATTCACTCCAAAATGAAAATGTCTGACAAAAACGTACTGAAAATGCATGTTCTAGTTGTCGATTGCGGCGCGATTTTTATCAGAAATGTTTTTGTCTAAATTGTTTATGTTTGTGTAGTTGGACATTGAAATTCACGGGATGATAGTATCCAGTGTGTTTTGGCCATCATTTAGAAAGGAAAAACTCGAGCTTCCACCCCAAATAAAAAGGTTTACATATGTCTCATCGTGAGAAAAAGACTTCATGTTGAGAAGACTTTTGAAATTGTATTTCATTTTAACAGCGCAATGGATATGTACACGGAACAGTTCAAGTCATTAAAAGGTTCCCGTACACTTGAATGGAAAGCGCATCTTGGTTCAGTGGATTTGGAACTTGAGTTTGAAGATCGGACGTTATCATTCAATGTTTCACCTTCCCGCGCGGCCGTCATTATGTATTTTCAAGAAAAATGTAGTCGGAGAAAAGCTGTAGTATTCTATGTGCATATGTTCAAACATGTCTAGGGCTAAAATACAACAATTTTAATGTCTTTAACTGCTGTTACATGAAGTGTTAATATTATCTCGGCAGCTCGTTGGCATTTAGACGAACTTAGCAGCACAATGCGCATGCCTGTGACCGTGCTTCGACGTTGCCTTGGTTACTGGCTTAGTCAGAATGTATTGAAACAAGACACCGAAGATGTTTATGTCGTTCAGGAAAAGAGAAAAGATAAGCAAGATGTACATGGTAAGTATAGGGTATTGTCAATTTATCGCGATAAACCGTGAAATATAACTTACGAATTTATTTTGATAGATGTTGTGTACATGGGTGATGGTGAGTCAGCAATGGCAACATCACGTGATCGGCGGGAAGGGGAGTTACAGGTACGTGGACTTTGTACCTTCAGTGACCCATTTCTCCCTTTATACACTCCGCATATAACTTTTGCTTGTATTTCAGATATTTTGGTCGTACATTGTGGGTATGTTAACAAACTTAGACAGCTTGCCTTTGGATAGAATTCACTCCATGTTGAGGATGTTTGCCGTGAATGGACCGACACAATGTAACTTGGACGATTTGAAACGATTTCTGGAAAGAAAAGTTCGCGAGGGTGAACTTCAATATGCAAGCGGAAAGTACAGGCTGCCTAAAGCCGGCAGATGATGATAGAAATTATGTAGGTGTTGTATCTCTTTTGGCCCATCCTAAAGTCACAGCGTTTTAACGTTAAAATTCTTCGCGAAGTTTTCCTAGAAAATAGTCATCATTTTCCCCAGGTCTAGTGTGACGTCACATGACATCACATGATGAGCATGCATATGTATTTATGTATGAATTCTTTACAAGATGGCTTCCTCAAACTTTTGGAATTGTGTTATATTTCTCACCGTAATTTTGCTGCTCTTCCCGCAACCTGTGACTGCTTTTGATGCTGGTGATGGTATTGCGTTGGTAGTTGGTTTGATTGTTGGAATAATGGGGATTTGTGCTTGCCTTGGAGCGTATGCAAGACGGAAAGAAGGTGTTTAGGAGTCGGGTTGATCATTTCATGGATATTTAGTCGTTTTATTTAGCACAATTTTGTATGATGAGTAATTGATAATTGACTAATGAATATATGCGTCGAAGAAAAGCAATATTATATGGCCAAATTGAAGACTAGAGTCTAAAGCATTTTGTAATACAGCATCTTAAATGATATGTAGTCAGAGACAGTGTTGTATCATTCATCTATAGTCCTATGGAACGAAGTCAACTTAAATGATGATCCTAATGACATATCTCAATCATCTTCAAAGCTATCTTGGTCTTGCTATGAATGTGGATGCTACAGATTATTATATCTGAACTGTGTTGACTTGCTCCAATATTTTGTTTGTGCTATTTTGAATAATTTTTGTATAAGATGTTTTAGGTGTTGCAGTTTTGTGGTTTTTGTAATGTAATGTATGAATTGCTTTTTCCTCAATGCACAAATCACAATAAATCAATAATAAATCAACTATTCATTTGTAATTTATAATTTTGTATAATTGTCGTAAGCATGACATTTCAATTTAACATTTTTTTGATAACTTTTACTCAGTTGATTGTAAAAGTTGTAGCTATGGTGCTTGAAGTTAGACATTCATTAAAGCAGAAGCAAAATTGAGAATTTATCTATTGACGTTTATACTCAAAACACTCTAGGTGTTTCCATTTAATGCCAATCTCACTCTTCAGCATTTTTCTTCCATAAATTAAATTGTAAAGTTTACATAAGTGTGAGGCTGTATTATGTATTGAAATATTTCCAAGATTAATATTTTGTTGAGAATTATTAAGCATTACCTACATCAATTTTATTGGTTTGCAGTGACTTGGAGTGATGGTATTGGCAAGTTATACTAGGTTAAACATGTTTGTACATTGTTATACAAGTTTGTACATGTATATACATGGTTATACATGGTTTTCACAAAAGTCACTAATCAGTCAATGACGTAATTTTCCAGGCGTTCTTCTTGTCAGCCATTGTCAGCATATTAAATTGAATGTAAAATGTGCAGTCAATTTTAATGAGCTTGGCAAACATCTCCCTTTATAAAGTCGCATTAAAAGTTACGATTGAGCTTCATAGTCATCGTAAATTTTGCCAATGAAGGACTGTGAATATACTTTTCATATTTTATTATTACGCATAGCAACGCCGATTGTTACCAGTAAAAGCAAGCATACATGTCTTAACGCGTTGAAGAATCTGTCAAAATCTAAACATGATCTGAAACTTCAGCTGTCGTTGATGGGAAAACTGAACAACGCTAAAGAGGTAAACTCTAATGGCAGTATTTTATTCATTTTATTATTTTCATTGTAAACTAACTCCTATGTAGAAACATTTAAATTCAAAATTTACAAATTCGTTTACAACACAGACTATCGAAGCTATCATTATTTAACAATATTAAAATACAAGAAGTGAGGACAGTCTTTGATAGTCACATAATCCGGCATCTCTATCAGAAATTGACATTGCTGGTACTTTTATAGATAGTGATCTTATTGACTCATAGCTTCAGAGGTGAAAAGTGTACACAAAGCACTTCTTAACAAAAATATTCATACTATAAACTATGCAAGTTTTTGTGCAAAAAATTTATCCCTAAAGTCGTGCGGACATAGATAACAGAGAGAGACATATAGCTGCTTACTCCGTTATTGTCATGGCGATAATGGTGATTCTTCGTTGGCTACATGGCCGCTAGCGTTTGTATTGTTTGCTTTTTCAATATTTTTCTTACTGCGCGTGGAAATCCCCCACTTAAGGAAATAGTACTTAATTCTTGGCGCAAAAACCAACACAATAAGAACGAAAGGAAGGCATGCCAAAAACCAACTTTCTAGCTCTTTGATCATTTCAATCTCGCTTTGAATGACAAGGCTTGCATTGTGGTACATTACTTCCACAAGACTTAGACTGGATAAAATCACTATAATGCTTAAAGCGATCATATCAAGCTTGTTTACGGTGTTGTTCTTATATGGTTGAACAAAAACATGCATCCACAGAAACAATGTTGATGCAATAATGAACCAGAAGGCCTGCATGAAATATGATTTAGTAAAAATGAAGAAAAGGACAAGAATTAGTCGTCGAGAAATCAGGACAGTCTCCCAGTTTTCACGTAAATGTTCCACGATAGTGGCATGGACGAATTGCCGCGATTTGTATGGATATTGAAGGATATAATTGATCTTATCTCTATAAGGGTCATTTTCGTTTGGCAACTGTTCCCAGTTCATCACCTTTTTCCAATGAAGAAAGGTTTTATAAGCCCATATGAGCATTACAAGTAAAGGAACGAAACAAGCGCAAATGAACTCTCTGTGAGTGATTCTTTTTTGACGAAGTAGTATTGAACCGAGTAAAAGGGCGACGGGATAAAGAATGGTGATCGCGAAAAAATATATCCACAGTAACACTTGCCATGGAGTGTAACATTTGATAGAACCACTAATATAGAGCACCTTTTCATTGCCAATATTGACACAATCCAAAAGTTGCCCAATCATTTGTGTTTGAGCAATGTAAGACAAAAGACTGACGTGAACAGTCATGCCTACCAAACGAACAGGGAAGGATCGCGATTTGAAGTTAGGTAAATCATCAATTTGAATACCCCGACATCCCTTTACGAAACGATACACACAATATGATAGTAATATAAAGATGAACAACCAGAAGGCAACGCTGTTCTTCAAAACAACTTTCCTCACCGGCGTGAGATTTTTGCCTGCGCATGCCCAGAAGTTTGAGAACTGAAAATTGATCAATGGCATCAGGAAGTCTAAGATATTGCTTGTTATGGAAGAAGTTTCGACAACAGAATTAAGACGGATAAGAAATACAACCTGATAGAAGTAGTAAAAAACTTTCAAAAAACCTCCCGTGTTGTTGTAATCATCGCTTTCTTGAATACCACCGTACGGTTGTCGGGGTAAAACAACTTCTATTTCTTCGCGAGAGCTTCGAGAGTCATTTTCTGTTTCGCTATTTGTTTCTTCGTCATGATGTCGTTCGTTAGGTCTGTACTCGCAAGCATCACTGACATTGTCACTGCTATCACTCCATAGAAACCATTTGGTAAGAAACGATATCACCTGTAAAATAGATACACTACATCATAAGTAAAAACATCGATGACTGAGTAAATGAATAAAAAAAAGAATCAAATTAGGCAATCTTATTTGTCTACCAATAGTATTTTACACATATCGCCATCTGCTTGCCTTGTGGACATTGCCTATGGAATATAACAATCTAACTAACAAAATTCGAACATCTTCAGCTTATTATTTAAAGGTTAGAAATCTCTGTTTACTGATGTTGAAATATTACAAGTGCTATTTATCAATACTATATCATAGCATCATTTTGACTTTCGAAAATATCTTTACATTGACTGAGTTGTTCAGGCTTCAGGCTCCTTGCAACTTCTTCACTCCCTGGTTGCGTTCTGTGAGCTTTGTTATTCTCCCTCTGATGCTAGCGTTATCTTATAATCTTGGAACTTTCTTTCTGTTTGTCTAACACTACTGCTTTTACAAATAACACTTTACCTGAAACTATTTTGCAGTTTAAGTAGGTCAATAATGAACGCCATAATTGAATATTTTTCATAAAAAAGAGGCTTAATTTATTCCCACGTATAAAGTTTTTGCATGGTGCTTAAGAGAAAAAAGTGTGATGTTTAGTGAAACTTTACCTCTTGATAAAAGCAAAGCAAAAAGAAGATGATGCCAAGGTTAGCGAGAGGCCAAAACCACCAAGCTCCATTGCAAATCTCATTACGATGACATTTTGTTGAGCTCATTGTTTCCGTGTAACCTTGAGAACAATGACTGCATAATGTTCCTGTTCTATATTCACGACAGACATCATAACTCAAGCAAGGTTCACGATGACAACAATAACCTTTGGGGCAAGGAAGCATTTCAACCTTATCACCGACCACTCTTCCCCAGAAATTTGCTTTGGCGCGGATTGTACCGTTACACGATGCTCCGTCCGGACATGGGTGACATTTCGCGTCTTTCTTTATTCCCTTGGTAATATACCATCCACGTGACATTGTGTAAAACATGTCCTGACAAGGTTTACACACGAAAGAAAATCTGTGATAAGTTTGGAGGTCTTCTCCCTTATACGATTTCTTCATTTCAATTTTGTACGTGTAAACCGTTTCTTCGTAGCTGTGTCCTTTCGGACAGTGAAATTCACTGATGCTGTTCATCTTTAAAACCGAGGGATTACCATCGTAGAAAAATATAGGCTTGCCCATGTTGTTTGAAGCAATATCGAATTTAACTTTCCTTTTGAATGTTGATTCGGCCTTGTCAATGTATATAATACCCCCTTCAATGGGATTCCATGAAGACGGTCTGTTTTTAAATGTCGAGTTGTCAAAATTTATTGTCGACGGTTTTTCCCCTACATTCCCGAAGTAAATGGTACCTCCAGCTTTGAATGCCGCATTATTTTCAAATCTTGAGACTTTGATGTTGAATCGGCCTCCCGATGCATGTAATGCTCCCCCGCTCACGAATGCCTCGTTCTCTAAGAATTCACACTTATCAAATTGGACACTCTTGTTTTTCCAGTCGGAGAACCACACCGCTCCACCATTGACAGCTTTATTTTTGATAAAAGTGGAGTCTCTAATCAAGAGAATATGCGGTTTTGTCGTTAGCCAGTTCGATAAATTAAACCTCATAGCCGCGCCAGTGCCATTTTCAACTGTATTATTTGTGAAATTCGTGTTAAATACGTTGATGTTGATAGAAGCGGGGTACTTTGCTCTTTTCTCTCGTTTTTTGAACCATTTCTGACAGGCAGTGATGTTTATCATGGAGTTTTTTCTCCCGAAATGATTCAGGAAGTGCGACTTGAATATATTCACAATATTTTTTTTCAAAGCTGTGACGATATGAAGAGGTGAAGTTTCAACCGTGTCATCGGTTTTTTGTGTTTTATGGATCAACCGACTGCTCATGTCAAAAAGTGCGTTTTTTAGAGTCAGTCTCAATATCCAGCTTTGGTCTGTCGATCTTACGTTTATATATTTGCCATAAAACTTCGTCGCTGTTAGTTTGAGAACGGTTTGGTTACAACCTGCCATTTCAATAGCATTTCCCGATTCACCAATTATTTGTACTTTGTCCATCGTCAGGTAACACAACTGAGAATTTCTCCAATAAACATCGATATTGTTTTTATGAAGATTTACATTTTCAAGAAACAAATACACTTTGTATGTAGGCACCGAAAATGAGAATGCAATGTTTGAATTTGTGATTTTCATATTTGCAATTTTTACGTTGTTTAGTTTTTTCAGATTCTTCGTTATTTTCACCTTCAGAAAGTCCAAACCGTTGCAATCTATAAGGGGGGCATTGTGATGACCAGTCAATTTAAGGGGCTTGGTTAGAACAATTGGGCATTCTTTATAAGGTTTCTTCGTTGCCAGGATTTTTATAACATCATTTTCTTTCGCAATCTTAACTGCCTCTACTATGGATGGACATGGTTGATCTTCTTCCCCACAACCTTTCGCATCAGTATATGCAGTGTTTGACACGTGTATATTTTTTGTTTCCAATCCTAAAGCATAAATTGAAACGTCATTCCGCGAAAGGACCACGGGGACTTCAGGATACATTATATGATATGCATTCAATGACTGTAACAGAAGGGATACACTATGTAAATTTGTGCATGTGCTCAGTCGTTGTTTTTTCACAAAGAATACACTTTATGTTATTAGACACATTCTTTTCATCCTTACATCTCATGTTTAACTGCTATCATGACTAAAGGGTAGCGTAAAGCATAGTTGACAGTCTATCTGACGTATTAAGCACAAAGATGATCGATACTTCCTATAATTCACCATTCCCCTGTTTCTCGAGTTCCTTTCAGTAAAGTTTTACATCTCGCGCTAAAATGAGTCGTTAACGACAGCAAAGCGCAAGACTGTAACTGATGCAAAGCCATAAAATGATACTCACCCGACAGGAATATCGTGAAAACACAAAATACGGCAAATATTAAGGAATTTGAAGTCATCTCTGATCATCTATTGGATCTAAAAGAATTCACAAGTACGCCTCGTTTACGATGCGGGACTTCTACGTGCACTGCGGGAAATCTATATAAAATTATCCTATGTTTACCTCGAGTTGCTAAGTTCTATTATTTTACAATGATACTCAACAAGCGTTTACTCGATTCTATTCCAAATGCAAGTGTTTGTCATTTTATGGATGTTTTCTTTTGTTCGTGTAACGCATCGTCTGGTTGAATGTTACGGGTGTGTATTGACACACTTCAGCTACAAAAATATCGTCTTGCCTTTGTCACATGGCAGACTTTAGCGTATTTAACAAATTGCTTTTGAGTGGGGAAATGTTATGTCAAGTTATTGTTGATCTTTCAATAATAATAAACGATGAAACATTTCTAGCGTTTCCATAGCTTATATATCAATAAATGGCAAAGCACTTCAGCATGTGTTCGTTTCAACATTTTACATCGTCTTATTTAGATATGGTGGTTGCCCCGCGAACACATCTCAGGCAGGTGTTGTTTTTGTTTTGTGAAGTAAAACCTAAACCTAAAGCTACGTACTTTACTTGCAAATTTTTAGAGAAAAAACACATATAGCTAAGAGCCATTCATCATACAAAGAAATTTGCATGGCCAAACATATATTGTGTAACAGTTGTAATATTTAGTATTTAAACAGCATATTTCTAATGGGCCTGTTAATTAAAGTATTGTGCAAAACCGATTTACAGGTCCAGTCGTCTTTTTGAAAGTTTTTGATTATTCATAGGGGTTTGAAAGCAATTTTCTGAGGATTTTGTTTCGTTGATGTTATGGCATGTTCGACTTGAAATGAATATTTTGATTAGCAAGTGGCAACATTATTTAAAACAATTCTTTACTTGTACTGAATAGATTAATATAGCAGACACTTTATAGCAACAACTTGCTTCTATGTTTGTATCGCCCATCCTTAGCATTTGTGGGACGAAAATTTGCTCAACGCTAATTAGTCGCTAATGTATACCTCTCTTTTTTGAAACTTCAAACTTTAGCGAAGAACACGCAAAAAAACAATCAATCATAATTCAAATCATAGCGCCTGTAGGAAATTAAAACATCGAATACTTACGAAGAAAGTTTTCTCCTAGAAATCCAAAGCTTCTGCGTTGCCGTATTGTTGATTACAAATAGTATAATTCAAGGTGAATAGTTTCTTCGAAGAACATGTGCTCGCAGTTCTTGGAAGAGGAGCACGTGTTGAAATTCAATTCCTTTAGTTATGTTTACTATACACAGAATTCGACTTCGCAATTGAATTCGTGTGAACGGAAATACTTTAGTGCGGTTTTACAGTTAAGTATGCAGTTTGAAATGCATCCAAATTCGTGTGGACTTGGCCTTAATGGATTTATTTATCATTAAATACTTAGCATTCTTCTCTATTTCACCCACTCACTACCCCCGGAAGTGCATTTTGCATATATAATTAGGCTTCCCTTTTGCTACCTATAGAAGCTATATCCAGTCTATTATCAGATCAGTGAATTCAGCCCAGCAAAACAGAAAGTAAACTTTAGCAAATATTTTCGAAGGTTTTAAAATTTATTATTATCTATAATTCTGCATCATGATCGTACAATGAACTATTAAGGTTGTGTGACAACATTCATTGAAAAATAGGCATTTTTATCTTTATACAGAACAAATTCAACAAAACACGTAATTGGAGACGCAGATTGTTTCACAGTTTTTTGTACCTCAATTTCATACCGTTCGTTCTCTATTAATTTAATAATATATTTTTCTGTATTTTGTATTGTATCCGTTGGCAAGCGTATATATGGTTATCAAATAAAAGTGAAATTTAAACGTGATTTCTCAAGTTAAATAACGTTTCGATTAAAAGTGGCCTTAATACAAATTAATACTTATGGTAGTATTAAAGAAGAGAAACACTGCACATTTAATATTGGATTGTTGACAAACTGCACGGATTACAATTATTTAGCACAAGAGGTTAATTTATGCATGATTTAATTGATGCGTAATATTCATTGGGACACAAAGGATTTGAGTCTATAAGTGCAGCTGACAGTTTCCACATGCTAACCTGAGCGAAAGCTTAATCATTGCATTGCTTTGATTATATCTGCTAACCTGAAGTAAAATTAATGTAGATCGTGAGGACCCGGCAAAGAAGTGAGTTTATGTATTAACGTTTGGTATACTGTTAAACAGAGCACATATGTTATTCATACTATATCATTATTTACTAGATCGAATAAAAATTATTTACTTATTATCTATACGATTCCGACTCACGTATCTATCGGACTGCTAACCTGAGAATCCAAATATTATTATGCACCTTACCGTGTATTGATGTATCAAGTTAAAGTCTTAAATATATTTGCATTGCTGATTTTGTGAATATTAAGCATGGATATTTAGTAGTTTTATTTAACACAATTTTGTATGATGAGTAATTGATAATTGACTAATGAATATATGCGTCGAAGAAAAGCAATATTATATGGCCAAATTGAAGACTAGAGTCTACAGCATTTTGTAATACAGCATCTTAAATGATATGTAGTCAGAGACAGAGTTGTATCATTCATCTATAGTCCAATGGAACGAAGTCAACTTAAATGATGATCCTAATGTCATATCTCAATCATCTTCAAAGCTACCTTGGTCTTGCTGTGAATGTGGATGCTACAGATTATTATATCTGAACTGTGTTGACTTGCTCCAATATTTTGTTCGTGCTATTTTAAATAATTTTTGTATAAGATGTTTTAGGTGTTGCAGTTTTGTGGTTTATGTTATGTTATGTAAGAATTGCTTTTTCCTCAATGCACAAATCACAATAAATCAATAATAAATCAACTATTCATTTGTAATTTATAATTTTGTATAATTGTCGTAAGCATGACACTTCAATTTAACATTTTTTTGATAACTTTTACTCAGTTGATTGTAAAAGTTGTAGCTATGGTGCTTGAAGTTAGACAATCGTTAAAGCAGAAGCAAAATTGAGAATTTATCTATTGACGTTTATACTCAAAACACTCAAGGTGTTCCATTTAATGCCAATCTCACTCTTCAGCATTTTTCTTCGATAAATTAAATTGTAAAGTTTATATAAGTGTGAGGTTGTATTATGTATTGAAATATTACCAAGATTAATATTTTGTTGAGAATTATTAAGCATTACCTACATCAGCTTTATTGGTTTGCAGTGATTTGGAGTGATGGTATTGGCACGTTATACTAGGTTATACATGTTTGTACATTGTTATACAAGTTTGTACATGTATATACATGGTTATACATGGTTGTCACAAACGTCACTAATCTGTCAATGACGTAATTTTCCAGGCGTTCTTGTTTCTTGTCAGCCATTTTGTCAGCATATTAAATTGTTGAATGTAAAATGTGCAGTCAATTTTAATGAGCATGGTAAACATCTCGCTTTATAAAGTCGCATTAAAAGTTACGTTGAGCTTCATAGTCATCGTAAATTTTGCCAATGAAGGACTGTGAATATACTTTTCCTAATTTTTATTATTACGCATAGCAACGCCGATTGTTACCAGTAAAAGCAAGCACTCATGTCTTAACGCGTTGAAGAATCTGTCAAAATCTAAACATGACCTGAAACTTCAGCTGTCGTCGATGGGAAAACTGAACAACGTTAAAAGAGGTAAACTCTAATGGCAGTATTTTATTCATTTTATTATTTTCATTGTAAACTAACTCCTATGTAGAAACACAAAAATTCAAAATTTACAAATTCGTTTACAACACAGACTATCGAAGCTATCATTATTTAACAATATTAAAATACAAGAAGTGAGGACAGTCTTTGATAGTCACATAGTCCGGCATCTCTATCAGAAATTGACATTGCTGGTACTTTTATAGATGGTGATCTTATTGACTCATAGCTTCAGAGGTGAAAAGTGTGCAAGGCACTTCTTAACAAAAATATTCATACTATAAACTATGCAAGTTTTTGTGCAAATAATTTATCCCTAAAGTCATGCTGACATAGATAACAGAGCTAGACATATAGCTGCTTACTCCGTTATTGTCATGGCGACAGTGGTGATTCTTCGTTAGCATCATGGCCGCTAGCGTTTGTATTGCTTATTCGTATCCACAATTTATGGAAACAGTACTTAATTCTTGGTGCAAAAACCAACACAATAAGAACAAAAGGAAGGCATGCCAAAAACCAACTTTCTAGCTCTTTGATCATTTCAATCTCGCTTTGAATGACAAGGCTTGCATTGTGGTACATTACTTCCACAAGACTTAGACTCGATAAAATCACAATAATGCTTAAAGCGATCATATCAAGCTTGTTTACGGTGTTGTTCTTATATGGTTGAACAAAAACATGCATCCACAGAAACAATGCTGATGCAATAATGAACATGAAGGCCTGCATGAAATATGATTTAATAAAAATGAAGAAAATGACAAGAATTAGTCGTCGAGAAATCAGGACAGTCTCCCAGTTTTCACGTAAATGTTCCACGATAGTGGCATGGACGAATTGCCGCGATTTGTATGGATATTGAAGGATATAATTGATCTTATCTCTATAAGCATCATTGTCGTTTGGCAACTGTTCCCAGTTCATCACATTTTTCCAATAAAGAAGGGTTTTAAAAGCCCATATGAGCATTGCAAGTAAAGGAAAGAAGCAAGCGCAAATGAACTCTCTGTGAGTGATTCTTTTTTGACGCAGTAGTATTGAACCGAGTAAAAGAGCGACGGGATAAAGAATAGTGATCGCGAAAAAATATATCCACAGTAACACTTGCCATTGAGTGTAACATTTGATAGAACCACTAATAAAAAGCACCTTTTCATTGCCAATATTGACACAATCCAAAAGTTGCCCAATCATTTGTGTTTGAGCAATGTAAGACAAAAGACTGACGTGAACAGTCATGCCTACCAAACGAACAGGGAAGGATCGCGATTTGAAGTTAGGTAAATCATCAATTTGAATACCCCGACATCTCTTTACGAAACGATACACACAATATGATAGTAATATAAAGATGAACAACCAGAAAGCAACGCTGTTCTTCAAAACAACCTTCCTCACCGGCGTGAGATTTTTGCCTGCGCATGCCCAGAAGTTTGAGAACTGAAAATTGATCAATGGTGTCAGGAAGTCTAAGATATTGTTTGTTATGGAAGAAGTTTCGACAACAGAATTAAGACGGATAAGAAATACAACCTGATAGAAGTAGTAAAAGACTTTCAAAAAACCTCCCGTGTTGTTGTAATCATCGCTTTCTTGAATACCACCGTACGGTTGTCGGGGTAAAACAACTTCTATTGCTTCGCGAGAGTCTCGAGAATCATTTTCTGTTTCGCTATTTGTTTCTTCGTCATGATGTCGATCGTTAGGTCTGTACTCGCAAGCATCACTGACATTGTCACTGCTATCACTCCATAGAAACCATTTGGTAAGAAACGTTATCACCTGTAAAAAAGATACACTACATCATAAGTAAAAACATCGATGACTGAGTAAATGAATAAAAAATCATAATTTAATTAGGCAATCTTATTTGTCTACCAATAGTTTTTTTACACATATTGCAATCTGCTTGCCTTGTGGACATTGCCTATGGAATATAACAATCTAACTAACAAAATTCCATATCTTCAGCTTATTATTTAAACGTTAGAAATCTCTGTTTACTGAT